AGGCCATTCCCTCGGGGCCTGGCGCTGGGGCCTTGGCTCCAGAGACTCATCCCCCCTCTCTGCCCCCTCCTGGCAGGGAGTTGCCGAGGGCCAGGAGGTCTCCCCTCAGCCTCCTCTGCTCCAGACTGAACCCCCCCAGTTCCCCCAGCCGCTCCCCAGCAGACCTGTGCTCCAGACCCTGCCCCAGCTCCGTTGCCCTTCTCTGGCCACGCTCAGCTCGATACTGGGACCAGGTCTGGGACTGCTGCTGCTGTTGTGTTCCCATGTGCACTGAGTGAGAATGAGAGCAGAGTTGCAACATAGCATTTCTCTTCCAGATTTGCTTGGAAATGTGGAGCGGGTATCGTGGCTGTGCATGTCATAACAGGAATTGTGACTGTGGCGTATGAACAGTTTACCTGATACTAGATTTAAGAAGTATCAGTAACACAGTGGTTTGGACTATATCTGTACAGAGTTTAAAAAGAATAAACTTGGCACAAAACGGAGTTGTTCCTGCATCTAAAGGGTAAATTACTGTGACACGTGATGCCAACTTTACTTTTAATAAAATGTGTGTGAATACAAATTGATTTAAGGCAAACTCATCCAGAAGCATAAAGCTGTAATCTTAAGAGTGATCTCTGGTAGATACTGACACCTTTCTGCTGTCAAGCCCCAAGTAGTTTTTCACTACCAGTAGGTTTTTCTAGTTGGCTTTTTAGCTAGTTTGTAGAGTTTATGCTGAGCAGTTCCTGCTGAAGGGCATAAAATAGCACTAAACATATTGGAATTTGATATGCTTGTTTTTTCAGTGGTTATGGAAGATTGAAAGTGGAAAGCATTAAGAATTTCTGGAGATTTGCTGTGGCTTTCCTAATCTATAGTTATTGTTGGAATTGTTCCCTCTCTCCTTTTATTTTAACCTGCAAATTCTTACTATATTTTGCTATTCCAGAAGCTTCTGAAAATGGTAAAATATTACGTTTCAGTTCCATAAATCTAGTGTAGCCTTGTGCCACCGAGCAGTATCAACCAAACTTATAGTTTGGATGTTGTTGTGGTTGCTGTTGAAAAAGAACATTTCCTATGCCAAAAAAAAACCCCAACCCCCCAAAAAACCCATGGGGGGGGGAAGAAGCAGCCTGGCTTGTCAGGTCATGCCCTACAGCCTCTGAACCTCTTTTCTCTGCTTTCTGCTTCCCACCTTTCTCCTCCCGTTTGCCCCATCTGCCCATTTCTGATTAAGGCGAGAAGCAGGATGTGCTGTGACTGATTTAGAGCATGTGCTGATTTGCCACCTGGCTGCTATCTCTGAGCTGTTGGGTCAGTCAAGGAGAATAGATAAGGTCTGAGCTATCCTTGCCTCTTCCCAGTAATGTTTCACTTCTCATTTGCTGTGACGTTTTTCCCCATGGGATTTGAAAAATCTCAGATATACTTAAGGCCACTATACCTTTCCTCTCCTTCTGAACCTGGAAAGCTGGAGTAAAAAATGATCTGAGATATTAGCAAAATAGCACTTACAGCTGTGGCTGAACAGAATAGTTTATTGGGCTTGAAACATCATTTAATTATTGGAGACTATTTTTTAAAAAAAATACCCAGAAGTAATAGTGGTGTTGGACATATACTGATGGTCTCAGCTGGGAATTGCTCAGATTTTATCCGGTGTTTAAATTGTGCAGAAGATCTGTGAAACCACTAGCATTTTTATAAGAAAGCAAATGTGTCTTGGTCAAGAAGCTTATACCATGTAAGAGCTGGCATAAAAAGAAATGATTACTCAGGGTTACATGTCTTCACTCTTGAAACAGCATGTATATTCACTCAGCTGCAACAAATAAAATAGTAATAAATGTAGTTAGTTGTTTCATTCTTATCTTTCTCCTTTTTTCATTTTAGAAATCCTAGATACGTTAGATTCCTACTTCTGTTCAACATTGAGTTGAAAAAAGATAAAAGAGGGGAGTTGGCAAAGCAAACTCCTGTCAGTCTGGTTTCAAGTGAAAATATGTAGCTGAAAACATCTTAGTGACATCCTCCAGTAGATAAAAGATAAAGTTTTCCTTTCCTGGCCTGGACGTTCCTGCTGCATTTGAGATAGATGGGAATTATTGGCTGTCAGCCAAGGAATGATGGCACGTCCTGCCTGCACCTCTGAAACGGGAGCATCCTTGGGGGAAAGTGGGATAGTCCTGCAACAATCGTTTCAGTGTGAGCACCTTTCCCTCTCTGTCTTACAGACACTGGTTTCAACATGGGTTTTGGCGTGAGCAGTTTACAGGTGACACAACTATACGTAATATTTTCTGCTTTAGAACTACTTGTGATTCTCTACTATCATTGCAATTGCAAGTTGTCAATGGGGTTTTTTTCTTAATGCCAGCCTTATCCATAGGAAATGTTCTTCGCATACGTTGCTGTCATCTGTGTTTTGTTGTAGGAGATACTTCCCTGCTCTGCAGGTGATGCTGTTGCTTGCTATCTGCCTTTTCATCACCTCTGAGGCGCGCTGTAGCGATGCACAGTAACGATACTTGGGCGTGGAGCCTCCTCTAGACACCCAGTGCTTCCAGTGGGTGCTTGTAGCTAAGCAGGCTGCTGTGGGTGCCGTATCCCCGTGTGTATTCACTTCCCGTGGGTTTTGAATCAGGCTCAAAAATCTTTTCATGGGTTTCTGGGCCCAGCTATCACAGCGTGCAGCTGCAGCGCTCACAGATTCGTATGTACACAACTCTGGGTTGAACACATCTGCACCCTTCATGCTTTCCTTAGGGAAACATTTGTCTGACGTTCTCTTCTTGGTCCAAAGCACTCAGCTCTAGATAGCTGTATCCTAAATGCTGTACACTGCGTTTCTTCGGTATAAGGGCTTCCTTTTGCTCGTGTTTGGATTAAGTGAGGATGTGACACGTGTTTTTTTTGTGTTTGTGCAGCTCTTTAGAAAATGAGATACTGAAGACCTTTAGTCTGAACTAAGCTCGCTGGTTTACATAGCCTAGCATAATCCATTCTTTTAAAAATGTATATGTGATAGGACTTCTGAGATTGTATCCTTATTGCTTTAATCCAAATAATCAATAATACGTCCTGTATTGAGAGCTGGAAGGATCAACAGCATTGTCACAATATAAGCCTGCCTTGGAACTGGGGTGGAGAGGATGAGCGTAACTGCTGAATTAAGAGCAACATCACATCTCTAAGTGCTAAACTCAAACTCAGAATCCAGGTTTGCTGTTCTCTTTATATTATGACAAGAATGATCTTCCTGTGAGAACAGGAATAAGCCTGCCTTGTAAGCAGGAGCACCCCTAAAAGCCACTTAGCAGTTCCCAGTGAAATCCTTCAGCAAAATGCTCCACTAGCACTTCAGAGCCTAGGAAGCCAACACAATGTTTTTGAGTCTCTCAGAGTAATCCACATGGACTCTCTGGTGTCTTCTGTGTCTGGATCAAAGCCCTGGGGAAGGAGATTCCCTCAATACGCCTCCGTGTCTGTGACCCACCCAGGAGCAACAGAGACAGGCAAGAGTCTGTGCCAAGCGTGCTGCCAGGAGCCTTGGGAGAGCTTTTATTCAAACTTAGCCAAATGGCAGGGGAAAAGTGGGTGTGTTGTTACTGCTTACTTAAATGACCCTGCGACATGACTGTCATGGCGTAACCTTGACTTAAATAATCACCCAGTGTAGCCGGTCACACTGATGCTATCCAAAGTCACTGTCATTCCTGTTATGTCTAACAGATACGCATATTAGATCCAAGCCTGAGTAGAATGAGGGGATGGACTTGCTTAATAAATATTTTTGAGTGACAATGCTGAGAAATTACTGTTTTAAAACACACTTCTCAACCCATGTGAACAACAAGAACTCTGAGAGTGATCTTATGTGACTCCCATGTCTTTATCTCGCTCTGTTCAAAAGAAATCAGTGATGCTTGTCACAAGACTTCATTTGTTACTGATGTCAGGAGCTTCCTAATCTCATTTGGAAGGTCTAGGACAAGGAGAATAGCAGTTTTGTTGTGTGTTTGCTGTATTTCTCCAGTCTTCTGCATGTGGAAAGACTGCATAACCTGCTGTCAGGGCATTGACTGGTGCTGTGCTGCTATTTTAAAGGTCACTCCAGTAATTTTGTTCTTGTTTAAAAAAAAAACAAAAACAAAAACCCCTCCCAAAACCCCCGAACAAACTTTTAAATTATGCATGTAACAGATTGAAGGAATAGCTATTCTCTGCTCATTCTTTTAGGGAAACAAATGTTTGCTCTGCTGTCCCAGCAACCATGAGAGAATGGAGTTGGGCAAGTCCAAGGGTTGGACTCTGAAATTTCCTCTTGAATAACTCTCCTGAAGTTCCTGTTCAAGTGGCTTTGGAAATTTTTACGTTGCTTGGGTACTTTGTTTTTAAGAGACAGTGACACCCACAAGAATAGAAAGGGAGAGGTGTCACAAGAAAAAAACCAAACCTGGGAGAGAATGAGGAGAACGTGGTGGCAGCATGAGGAAAATCAGTGGCTTTGAATTTAAAATCGGCTTATTCAGAGCAGCATCTCAAATCTTACTTTTGGAAAGAGATGAGCATTGGTTTATTAAATGACTTGGGATCTGTAAGCACGGGGAGATCTGAGGAGAGAAATGAAATTTTTTAATCCAGCGTTCCAATGATGAAGTAATAATGATAGAGTAATTAAGTTAAAATCGCTATAACTAACAGTCTTCGTTTTTCTTTTGTCTTTCTTTTTCTTACCCCTGTGTGTTATCCTTTTTGCTCCTGATGCTTTGGAGAACAGTAGGACCCAACCAAAGGTAAGGGCCTTTATTGCATGTTAAATCAGTGTGTGAAAAATTATCATATCACTCATTCAGTATTGGGTTATCCAGATATTAAAAGCATTTTGAAAATGAGCTCTGTAGTTGATCAGCTGTTGAGTAAGAAACTTGAAGCATCTCCTTGCTGCAGAAGAGCACTGTACAGCCTGTGCCAAAAAATGAGTCACAGGAACAAATGAGAACATACATACTCAGCATTACAGACTGTGAATGGAAGACTGCTTGTTATTTGTGAGCTTTTAAAAGCATTTTCTGGTATTTGTGTAAAAGCAAACTCATTTTGTTGTTAATGGCTTATGATCCCGTGACTCTGTATTTGGTATGCAGATATCCTTCTCCATTCTAGCATATCAGGATTCAAGCTTTATTGTTGTGGCCATATAGCCAGTGATGTTTTCTGAAATGCTCTGAAGGCAAGGAATGTTATGATAATATGCTTAATTGTATAATAAATACAAAGAACCAAAAACCCCTTAATTTTAAATGAACAGGCTGTTTTCTCAGAGAACGTAAAATAACCACTTTTATCTTTTGATGCTGGGACATTAATGTAGTATAGGGGGAAAAAAAAAACCAACTGTATTTTTGAACGTAAGTTATTTAAATTTCACAGGTTTCACTACACTAAACATTTTCAAAAATGTAGGTAGTAAGTTTGGATGTGTTGGTAGTATGGATTTTTGAATCTTGGATAATTTTTCTAATTATTTTAGTTAGTATAAATACTTGAGGAAGACTTGCTTTATTGCTCCACGAGTCCTTAAATCAGATTCCATGATATGTTCTATTAAGAAATGCTATAACTGAGGTAATTCACTGAAGACTCAGTATTTCTTTTCAGGATTTTCTCATTATTAATATTGATATGATGCCACATCTTTTATTCCTACAGTCTTTACTAGTTAAGAAATGTTGAGTTTGATTACCTACACAGGTGCTAGTTCATGGTTAGTGCCTTTAGCATATAAACAACAGACTTCATTGAAATGGAACATGAGAATGTGTCAACAAATAAAATGAAAGTTTCAAAAGCAATGGAGCGAGGGTTCAGAAGGTGGATGTGAGATGCTGGCATGATGTGCTTGCTCTGTCAGAGTGGTCTGAGGGATTGCAGACGTTGGCTACATAACAATACAGAACATCTCAAGGGGAAAGAGCAGCCTTCATTAAGCTTTAAGGGAAAAGAAAGCAGCCAAAGAGCAACACAGTATACTTCCCTTTTCTTCCATCCTACAGAGTAAATTTTACCTGTGTGAATGTAGGTCAGATATTATCCTGATTTTTTTTTTTTCTTCTTACAAATACGTATCCAGGGGAGTTGTTTTTACAAATGCCTGGTTTTGCAGCCTGCCATCCCAAAGTACGCCCAGTCTTATTGGAGATCAGATTTTATGATGAAAGGTGCCCGCGGACCTTTAAATGAATTTACCACAAAATTGAAACTTTTCTATTTAAAAAGATTATAGTGCTACTCTTATGATAAAACTCAGTTGCTCTGTATTGTTCTTTGCAAGTATTAGACTTTGCTGATCGCTGCTTCTGTATGTAAGTAGTCTATAAATACATCCTCCTCCTGTACAGAAGGAGGTTCCTACCCTAAGGCACGTCTTAATTTATGCAGACAAGAGACACAGGGAGATGGTGGGCAGCAACAGCCAGGGGACATCTGTCAGTTTGCAAAATAGGGAGTCTTCTGAAAAACTGATTGCAAGGATGAGTTTAAAGGACAATAAGGAGAGCTCCTTGACATCCACTCAGTTGCTACACGGAGAGCTTTTGGAGAGCATGAAATAGAATTCACACCATAGAAAGGAAGAAATAAAACCAAGGAACAAATAAAAGCAAGGAAGAGGCTTGTATATAGGAAGGTGGTGTGTTCATTTAGGCTTCAAAGTCACAGAAAATCAGTAATTCAGTGGGAATGTGTATTATGTTCAGAATGGCCCCGAGGAGTGTGATGCTGGCCAACATCATACAGCACTGTCAAAAATGGGATAACATGTTTGATTTGGCAACGGTTTTTATAAGATGTCCTGGTTATTTTCCTACAGGTGTTTGCCTACGATCACTGCTTTTGGTCTATGGATGAATCTGTCAAAGAAAAATATGCAGGTAATGTTTCCTGTAGCTTTGTGCTTGTTGTCTCCAGGTGTGAATAATCTCATTAAAATACAGTATTTGCTGCAGGCCACATGCCATATGGGACAAAGTGCCTTCCCCTGTATGTCTGCTGGTTGTCAGAAGAAAAAGGAAAACCTTCAGGCATTCCTGTTTCTCTTCTCTAAAGATAACAGCAATAGGCATTGCTACTTGTTTGCAGTGTAGGAAATTGAGAAATCCATCACAACAATGGGTTATATTTACATCTTCATTTAAAATACCGTTCCAAGTCCATGATTTTAAAAACATCAGATCTGTTTCTTTTCAGGATTTGAGGAACATTGCTATATGTAATTTTATGTTTCACAGTGCTGATGGGAGTTTGGCATTACATTTAATATTAATTAATTGAGTATTAACAAAAGCCTAGTTTGATATAGGAGTATGTGAATTCATATGATCTGGTGAGAATGTGTAATGTATTTTAATTAAATACATTACAACAAAATTACAACAAAAGTTTTTTTGTGTATTATTATGACACGTTTTGGCAAATAGTTATGGTAAAACATCAAATATATTTAAACTTACCACTTGTGATCTATTCTCTTAAAACTGGGAATCAGTTAAGCTTGTTTACATTTATTTAAAAAAAAAAAATCACATTAAAAGTAAAAGATGCACATGCTTCTGGGTTTTAATTTCTCTAATAAATAACTAATGAATAGTAATTTAGTGAGGAACTGAGAAAACCGACACTTTCAGCCATAGAAATTACATAGAAAGGTAAGTTTGGGGTTTTTTTGTTTCTCAAACTAATGGAGCCTGCTGTGTCACTTACATTATGGTCTGTTATATATTGGAGTGTTTGGTCCAAAACCATTCCACCGTGCTTAGGTAGGCACAGCTATTAGTAATGGTGATGGGGAATTTTGCGTGTGTAAAATTCTGAGTGCGCTTGGATGTAAAGATAGAGACTTCAATCAATGAGAGAAAGGAAAAGCTTTCAGGAACATGAACTTATTTGAGAGGACTTTGCAGTCCATAACTTTCTGCCGTGTCTTATTCAGACTTTAGTTCCTCTGCTTGTGCAAGAAATTCTGAAAACAGAGCTTTTGTTTAAACAGATAATACCCAAATATATTAAGCATTTCTCCCTCTGCTTGGAAAAGGAGTCAAAAAGCTGTTCCTACAGATTTAATTCACTTACAAAAGTAGTGATAAACCCTGTATTTTACTAATGCACGTCTTGTTCTGTATCTCCCACATAGTTGTGATTCCTTCTCTGCAAAAATCTCCGCACAGTATTATTTAAGGTCTTAGATACAGTAAAATTATCTAGTGCTCTATAATTGCCCTAGATTAAAATCAACTGACGGCTGTTAAAATGTACAGGTTGAGTATATTTTGAGGTGGTGTCATTCACCAGTGGATTAAATTCTGCAGCTGGTAGTAGATTTTTTTGCTGATAAAACTTCTGAGTATGAACATTGCTAGGATGTTTTAAGCACGTACAGGTATATGCATGATTATCACAGCTTCTGATTTTTACAGTAGCATAAATCTGGAGCACATCTACTGGCTGAGGGTCTTGCTCTTGCAGAGGGAGCAAATACTGGATGCTAAATATGTTCTTTGGGCAACAAGAACAGGAAAACACTTATTTGCTTTTACATAATTATTGAAGAATCCAAATCAAGGGGTGGGCGGAATCTGTTGCTTTGTTATAGTGTTGGTTTATGTGTTTTATTTCTTAGGTCAAGATGTTGTTTTCAAGTGCCTTGGAGAGAATATTCTTCAGAATGCCTTTGAAGGCTATAATGCTTGCATCTTTGCCTATGGGCAAACTGGTAAGTCCCTTCTTGATGTAAGCAGAAAAATATTGTTGACGCAAAAGGTGTTACGTTCTGACTGGAGACTCTCTTTGTGGCTGTTGTGACACTGTTTCGGGAGAAGTGCCTTATATTTTAGATAAGAAATGTGTTTCTCTCCTGTAACATTAGATACGAGGTAAACAGGATGAGAAATCGCATTTTGTCTGTTGCTGCTGGCTACCCTTATTTCTCACACCTTAGATTATAATCTTTGGAATGACCATGATTGTCCTTGAGTTCAGTGCATCACCCGTATTTTCTGCCTCTGCAGTTAGAATAATCTTTAATCATAATTTTAAATGTAATGCACAAAAATGAGTATGCTTGTGTAATTGATTTTTCTTGTTGTGGCACATATATGGGTGTTAGTGGGTTGTCTTCTATAGTATGAGTCTCTACATGGAAAAAAATCTCCGTCAGTTTGAACTAAATTTCTTGGTTTACTTTTCCTTTTGATTAAATAGTCTTTAGCTAAATCGTGTTTTGGTTGCTTTAAAACAGAAAACAGCACAAATGTCTTTCACTGAAATGCCAATTTTCCTTGACCTCTTTCATTTCCTTCCCATGTTTCTCAAAGCAGGATACTTGTTGCATGCACACTAATTATAGATTTGATCACACAGGATCTGGAAAATCATACACCATGATGGGTACTGCTGACCAGCCTGGATTAATCCCTAGACTTTGCAGTGGACTCTTTGAAAGAGCACAGAAAGAGGAAAACGAAGAGCAGAGTTTCAAAGTGGAAGTATCCTACATGGAGATATACAATGAGAAAGTCAGAGATCTTCTTGACCCAAAAGGGTAAGTAATTTGTGTGTCAACAGCACTGTAATACGTTGTCATACACTTTTCCTTTCCATAACCAGCTTGCCTTAATGGATCCCGTGTCAGGTATTTGCATAGGATGGCTTTTGCTTCTTCTGATCTGTGTCCTTTCATTTTAAATCAAAATAAAGGAGTAAGACTAAAAGCTTGTAGTAAACTCACCCTAATGCTAGCTTTTATGAAGTGACAAAAATATCTGTCAGCTTTTTACTTGTAGACATATGGCTTTTTAGTCTGCGTTAAAGTCCTTGTTCTCTGCTTTGTTACGGTATTTGCGAGACCATCATGTTTGAGATCTGTCAGTGAAAAATTGACTTTCTATGAGCGTTGTCTGAACTCAGTTGTGTGCTTATAAATAACTTTTTTTTTTTCCAAAACCAGAAGCCGTCAGTCATTAAAAGTTAGAGAACACAGTGTTTACGGTCCTTACGTAGATGGCCTATCCAAACTAGCTGTTGCTAGCTACAAGGTAAGGATCGATTTTATGAAAGGCTTGTGTTGACATCCTAAACACTAGGGTACTGTCCCTTAAGCGGGGAAACATTATGAAGCTGCTCCTAATTGCCATGGCGTTAACACGGATTTTAGAGCAAGAGGGCTGCAGGGTGGTTGTATTGTCATCACCAGGGAGAACAGTGTTAAGAGCAGGAACTTGTCTTCATCCTGTTCTATTCAATAATTCTGGAAGTAATTCAACTATGTAATGAAACAGCTTTCCTCCCAAACTTAAGAATCATGATTAATTACAAAACTAGGATTTGGCAGAGACAGGCTTTCAGTACCGCGTTTTGTCACTTTTTGGCTGTCATGCAATTTGCCTAGTAATTTCACTTACCAGCAGCACACAGGCACACTGGAATTATAAACTAATGGTTGTTTAGAAGTTACATACTTGAGAACATTGCATGAAACTCGCTGGATAGTTTATGCGTTCACAAAATGCCCTGATTTTTAAGAAGCATTAACATACAGTGGGAGAAATGAGTAAATATGGGATGGAGTCTGTCATCTTAAGCAAAATGTGAAAGTGGTGCAGTCCTCCTTATTGCAGTTTCTACAGTTATTCATCTACCTCTCTCTGGTGGTTTCTGTTGACAAGACACATTGCATGCTTTTCCTTTACATCTTCCCCAGCAGCTTTGTGTAATACAGCATACAGAGTCAAAGTGGTCTGTGGTGTTCTTTTGTTTTGGTTGTGGGTTTTGTTTTTTCTTTTAGCATCATCCAGCTAGGGATTCATAAATAAAAGTTAAGCCCAAGACTCTAAAGTTTTAACTGGTTTATATTTTTTGTAAAACCCTGAAGCAGGGGAGCTGCATATTTCTCAAATGTCACAGTTTAACACATAAGGATTTTATAAGGTGTTATATGTAGGAGGAACATAATGACCTGTTCAGTGTGGTAAAACATTGAGCCTTATGTCAGCATTACAGATTTCAAGAATGAGGCTAAAATCTTAGGGTTCAAACATGAGTTGATGTTTCCTCACTTTTTTTCTTGGCTTTTGAGTATTGCTATGTGCAGCCAGGTGCATCATTTTTGTTGATTATTTAATATATGGGGAGGTAATGTCTAAATATGTATGTCACAATGTTCCAGTCTTTTAAGGGGAGATCACATTTTTTTTTTTCCTTACACTTCATTGATAAGCATTGGGAAACAGTGGGAAAATCATTGCTGTATTTTACCAAAATGAGATTGTTTTGGTAGAGAATTGAAAAGAATCTTAATGCAGATATGTTTATGGCTATGAAAATTGTATCTAGGACATCGAGTCCTTGATGTCCGAGGGCAACAAATCTCGAACAGTGGCTGCAACCAACATGAATGAGGAGAGCAGTCGGTCCCATGCAGTCTTCAAGATTATCCTCACCCACACGCTCTATGATGTACAGTCAGGGGTAAGTAAAACAAGTTTCAAGGTCCAAGTGTTAAGCTTGGATGTGTGTCCCTTGCTTTAATGTATTTCACAGACGCTTAGAAGTGTTGGTTAGGTCATTTGCTGGAGTCTCCTGCCCTTGTGCACGGGATCGGGTTAGCTGGGGCTTTGTCTGGCTAAGTCCTCATAACGCTCGGGTGCTTGTGCCCCAATGTAGGGAACTCAATTTTGATAGGTTTGTAAATGGAAACGTGTTTTTTTTCTGAAATGGAAAGCAAAACCGCAGGCCCCAAGTTGCAGCCGGCCTGCTGGAGGGTGCAGGAAAGATCTCCTAATCCTAGAATCTAAACTAAAGAAACATCTCTTTGAAGCAATGGTGTGTAGTATGGACTTGGAGCTGAAACTAAAGATGTAAAATGGAGATGAAAAGTAGAAGAAAACCTGAGTATACGTCTGGTAGTCTCCTTCAAGGGGTTATTTCATGCAAGTATATATAAATGATCAACTTGATAAACAGAAACACACAATTTTTGCTTTGTACAACATGAATATTTTTTATGTGTATATATATTAAATATCTAAAAGACGTTTTAAATAAGAAAGTGTTTTTCTTTATATTTCCTTACATATAAATATTCCTTGGAGGGAGAGGTGAAATACCTTTATGTTAATATTATTTAACCCCTCACAGAAAATGGCGATAAACTAAAATTGAAATAGATCTCCTACACCAGAACTCTTTACACTTTATTGATAGATTCTGTGCTTGGGCAATTCTTTAATGTCTTCAAAGCCTTGAAGAAATTCTGAGTGTCCACGGAGCAAATCTTAAGGCATGTATGTGCCTAAATATTGAATACAGTGTAAAGCATAATGAGCATTTGGATTTTCTCCTCCTCATTTCTCAGTCTCCACTGATCATCTTATTCAAACAATTTTTCTTGTTCTGTATTTGGATTTGTTTTCCCTTTGCACTTCAACAATCATACTCTGCTGAATTCCTTGATTTGCCATAGTTTGTCATTCTGTTTTTGCTGTGGCTGTATTGCATCCTTACCCTACACATTTTTTGTGTGGTCATGGTCAGCCTGGATGCAAGGTGGTAGTTGTGCTTGTTGGTCTCTTCTTCATCTTCCAGTGACCACTGTATGAGTTTCTGGAACAGATTTCTCTGTTTTCCCATCTGCTGGTCCTTTCAGTCCTGGAAATGACGTGTTTCAGTATGGCCTGATGATCACACTGTGTTTTGAGAGGCTTAGAGTAACATTTTTGAAAGCGTGTTGATTCTAATTATCCTGTTTGTTTAGGCCAACTGTGATACTGAGATTCTAAAGTCAGAGATGCTGCAGAAATGCGTGACGTAAGCAAGCTAACCCTCAAAGACAGGGTTAGCTCTTCAACTTCAAATTAACATGTGAAATTCATGGAGTGTTTCAGAGTGTCATTTTGGGTCAAACACGATAAAAGGATTTATAACAAAACTGGGATTGAAATGCTCACGTAGCTTGGATTGCTTTCTAGGAGGCTGTTAGCATAGGACGCTTCTGCAATTGTAATCATTCTCATAAATTATAACATGCTTCTTGTCGTGTTCATTCTCACTTTCTGAAAAACAGAGTGGAAACCTGGTATAAAGTCTTGAAATTTTTAGGAGACTGTTTCCAAAATGATAGAACAAAGACAGAACTTGTAGACCATCTGTTTGTGACTCCTTGGCCTGTACCTCCTTCTGCATACGTTTTTGCTTTAAAATTTAACTAATATACCCCATGTTTCTTTTGTCTGGAGATTTCTGAGATGTCTTGAAGATATGTGTATATTATTTCACTTCAGATCCTCCTGTTGTTTCTGGAGCAGCAACGAGTGAGTTATCACAGAACATTGTTCAAGTACTATGACTTTGAAAGCTGTTGGAACAGCTGTAGAGAGTCAACACCAAGAAATGAAGCTTGATTCTTGTTTGAAAATATGTCAAACTGTGTAACTTAGAGTGAACTAACAGTAGCTGTTCTCTGGTTCCTTTTACAGACATCAGGTGAGAAGGTGGGCAAGCTGAGTCTGGTGGACTTAGCAGGGAGTGAAAGGGCAACTAAGACTGGTGCTGCAGGAGACAGGTTGAAAGAAGGAAGCAACATTAACAAGTAAGACTGATGATTTCTTTTCCTTTTTCCATCAGTACAATCATGACTGCTAACTACAGCATAGTTGTAAAATAGGATAAAGTCAATATAAGCTCTTGTAGCCAGTTCTCTTCTTCCCTTCTGTATACTTCTCTGACATACAGAACTCTTAGATGTTTGAATGGGATCTCTGCCTACTTAAAATGATTGGCATTTTTCATTCTGTATGTGTTCCTGCAACTACCACAAAATTGCATTATGAAGACATGATTATTAAGGCTGAAAACAAGGAGTAGGGCTTCTGTGAGGGGAAAAATGATCAAAACTGTACTAGGAACTTATTCCTCAGACCTCATTTCTGGAGAGAAAATGATTGTCTACATATGCATTTGACTTATGAATATTTACACTTGTTAACGGATTGTGTTCTCTGTGCAGATCCCTCACGACTCTTGGGCTGGTTATTTCTGCCCTGGCAGATCAGGCTGCTGGCAAGAATAAAAACAAATTTGTTCCTTATCGTGATTCTGTGCTCACTTGGTTACTTAAAGTAAGTACTCTGATCTTGTTTTTTTAAAGAGAAACAAAATGGAGAAATAGGGGATAAGAGTCTCATTCAGTTAAATAAAATACTGTTCTTTTGCCTCATTTTCTGATTTTGATATGAACCTTAATTGTCTTTGGAAAATTACCTGGCTGTAAGCCATTAGTATCTCTACAGACTAAATATGCTCCCTGTCTTCTGCTGACCTGTAATGGCCTAAAGGATAAGGAGCTTAAAAAAAAAAAAGGGCATTATCTTTCATGGGTCAGTTTACACCTTCACACACTTCCTTGGGGCTCATTTGATTTGGGCTATTGCCACATGCAGCTGAATTGTACATACTGGCAGGTTAGCTTTGAAGATTTCTATTAAGATCATTGCCTTTTCATAATTGTTTAATATATTTGATAATGTACTCTACTTTTGTCAGCAGAGTATAATTGCAGAGCATTATCCCAGTTACAGTCTGAGGAATAGGTCAGAAGACTTTATAGATCACATTCATGTGAAATGAGCAGTTCACTTATTTTCTGTATTGCATAGGACAGAAATGTGCTATTATTTTTTGGGAAGAAGAGAGCGTATCATGATGGCACTTGGATGAAGATCTGTAAGGTCTAAATCAAAAAGTAAATTGTTAAACATGAATTTTGTGTGTGTTGAATTAAAAGGCAGGCTTTTGTTTTTGTTTTTCTTTCCACTTCCTAGATACAGTGGCCGTAAGGCATGGTAGCCTGAAGACTAAAAGTCTTGGAAGTGCAAGCTTGATTTTAAGTGTAGTCGTCATCTAGATTTCTCCCCTTCTCTGCATGAGTGGCAAGCACAAATGTAGCTACTTCTATCTGTAAAAAGCTTGCCTGCTAGTAAAGGTGGCTTGTCTGTCTTTTTCTTATCTCGCCTGGTACAGTTTGAGTGGTCTTAGTTGACTTGGCTTTTGAAGGATTATTAAATTAGGTGTCATTTGTTAGATAACTTCAGTTTCTTTTTTGTAACCTGTCATTCTGTTAAAATTTTTCTTACATTGGATTGCCAGGATGTTTCAAAACCATGTCTCAGAAATACTAACTTACCAAGTTTC